GTGGCACCGCCCACTTATGATCACATATATGTATCTCGCTAACCATTCTAGCAATTTGTACCAAACTCGGTGTGGTTATTGTGCTTACCACATAAAAGAAAACCGTTAAAAATTGTTGAAATCGGACTAAAATTTCGGCCGCTTTTCATATAACGGTAAATTTCAGAAATGCTTGAAATTTCAATATTTCGAAATTTAAGGACGCTAATTTACTTAAAATGTATACACCCCGGCTTATCATGTAGCGGTAGATTTCGGAAAGGTGGAAAACATATATTTAATACTTGCGCCGGGTATTTAATGTGCGGCTCCGCCCGAACTTAGACTTGTTAATTATGGCTTTTGTTGATACAGGGTGATTTATATTTTGATGAAATGAAAAATCGACACTTTGCGAGATCTCTCTTCACTCGAAAAGGGCTGTGTATGGGTATGAAACTCTTATAACTCTAACTAATATTTGGAATATCTTTTTTACACCAGAAACACTGAAAAATCTAGACTCCTTGAAAGGCGGACAGAGCTCATTGACCCAATTACTTGAAAATTAATTTTAGTAACAAAAAGCTTATAATTTGATATAAAAAACAGTTTATTCAATTTAAAAACAACACAAACCTTGAACTTTAATTTTTATTTTATAATTTTAGCAACAGAAAAACTGAATATATCCTGTTGAGCTATACAACAATATAACAGGATTGCTTTTAAATTAAATTTTATGTATTTTTAATAAAGGTCACGAAATACCAATTTGGAAAAACAACTGGCAAAAGAAATATTCGCAGTCTTATATGAAAATAAGCTCATCTCACCTATCCTCAAACATCCTCAACTCACATCTACTCATCACATCCCACCTCACCTCAGTTGTGCAAGTCAAATCTATATACAATAATAAAACTGTAACAGGCCGACGTCTGCACATTATAGATGTTAAAAAAAAAACAATGGTGTGGGGAGTCAACAATTTTTAGAATTGTTGTATGTCTGCCTGTCTGTACGTTTGTATGGGCATCACTCCATAACTAGTGCATGACATTGAATGCAGTTTTCACCGGTGTATTTCTTGTCCAACTCAAAATATAGAAAGAAAAAAATAAGAGTTGTCACGTGTTTGAAAATTGCAGTTTAAATAAATTGATCAAATAAAGTAAATATTGCAGCATGTCAGTCAAAAGAGAAAGATTTAAGAAAGCTTATAGCTGAAAATATTTTTGTGGAGGTTGACACATGTTTGAAGATTTTAATTAAATTTAATTGATAAGATAAACTAAATATTGCAATATGGGTATCAAATTAAAAAGGTTTAGGAAAGGTTACCAGCGAAAATATTTTTGACGGGGGAGTTGCCACCTATTTGAAAAATTGTATTGAATTAAACTGATAAATTAAATGAATTATTACAAAACGGGTATCAAATAACTCAAAAATACTTTTAAGACGCAATGAAACACGCTGGGTATTTGCTAGTCACAAATAAAAATTGATTTCTTGATTTGTGATAGGATCAATTAAAAATCATTTAACCCACTGTTGTGCACTGTATATCTAAACATGCAACTCTCAGTATTATGAAACGATTGGAAAATGAATCAAGGGAAGTTTAGCTTCCTTCCCTGCTTAGCTCCTCCAATTAGCTTCAGAAATGTGCAGCCTATGCGCACTAAAATACCAATAATATCTACTTTTATGTTCTAAACTTAGGCTACACTTATTTAGCTCATTTATGGCAGACAACTACATAATTCTCTAAAATTGTCATATATAACTATCGAGCCTAGCTACCAAATATGGACGTGCGCAATGATTTCTAGTTATCATTAATTTAAAATTTGAAAATTTTGCCTGTTCGTAGAATTTTAATGTGAAAATCATGCAAGAATTAAATGGCTGCTAGTTAATAATTTGCAATACTTGTAGCTAATTGTGGTTGTGCAATGCGTACGTGACATAATAAAATAAAATCAGCTGACATGCCTAAAAGTATGCACATTCATACATATATTCATTCACATGCATACATACATACGCGCGCCTCCTGTGTACTTACATTAATACTACAAGAATAACTATTTTGTTAAGCGGAAATTACTGCCCGTAGCTAAATGTTTATTAAATTAAAACTTGAAATGCTGCATGCGTGCGCGCCTACAGGTATACAACATATTGCGCGCAAAGCTAATGGTGTGCTTATGGTACTTGGACGCTTACGTTTTTACTGTTGTAAATGTGCAACAGTTTTACGTAATTGAAATTATTTCAACATATTTTCCGGCTGATTGGCTTTTCTCGTTAATGCAAATTATTTAATTTTTTTGCGCAGTTCTCGCTTACAGTGCACTTACAGTTCTAGCCTTTTTGCATCGATTGCAACTATTCATGTATAAATACTTAGCTGCATATGTATGTGTATGGTTGCAAATCTATGTAAGTGTGTGTGCGAGTAATTGTGTGTTCATAATATATGCAAATTTTAATTGTACAAACGTGTTAACCGCAAAATTGTTTTATAGCGTTGTTTTCATGTTAAATGTCTGGCATAATGTTATTGAAAAAGTACATTATGCATTGCCAGCGGGCTGCGTGATGTATACATATGTACATATATTTGTATGCGCAGCAAAAAGTGTTTGTGGCGAGTATTAAAACCATTCAAATTGGGTCTTAATTCAATTAACTTAGCGGCGTTGAAAATTGTCTGAGTGAGAAAATTTAAAAAACTGAATAGCTGTTCGTATCAGGCGCATAATTATACCATACCTCTTAGTACTTAAAGTTTATATTTAGCTTGTTTTTATTGTCAACTAGCAAATGGCCGGCGTGCAAGACAAATCCTTGTATTTCTGCCCGGAGTGTCGAGCAAGCTGGGAATCTCCCACCGATACGTCGCGGCCTGGGCATCGGTTGTACTCAAAGCTCACCAAAGAACACTATGTCGGAGACTGGCAACAAGCTGCTGGATTCCAACATTCGTTATCACTCAATTTGATTGCCAAAAATCTCTAAAAGAATAGTAGACGCGCCTAATAATGTGCAACTTATAGTTACATGCCCCTCGAACCGCTAGATTTGTTACTTTTCCATGTTGTATACATTTAGGCTCCACTATTGTACATTTAGAGAATTTTGGCGACAAAACTTTAGCGATTGTATAAATTCCACTCCAGAGCCACGGCGAAAGCAAGCTACTGGTGGATGACTTTGCTATTAGATAGCTAACTCTTACAGGAGGTGGATGGCGGAATACCAACAAAGCACTCTGAAACAATCAAGGTCGTGAAATATGTGGAGATGCTAAATGATTTTCTGCAAAGTGAACACTGGTATCAGGGATGTAACCAATAACGGTTTAACTTGGTGCAAACCAGAAGAGTACCGTAGGATTTCCACGTACATCAGTGATACAGAAATGGACAAAAATCTGACCGAAGTCACCTAAAAAGGGACAAAAAGGAGGATAAAGCCGCGTCTATGTCCAAGGCGATTACTTATCATTCTTTAGTCTCTGACTCTGCACAGAATAATTTCTCTGTTGCTCTACGGGCTTTTCCAGAGTTAAATGTTACATTTTAGGGTCGGATAATTGAACGAGCTACATTCTATAAACCTCGGGAAACTTCTAAGATTCATAGAAGAGTCAGGAAAGTTTGCGATGGAGCAATAATTTCCCACTCCAGCTGTATTTCTCTTTCCTTTAAATCCTTTCCCTACGTCTTTAGAAAAACTGGCAATATTGCCTGACTACTTTAAAAATTGTTTTTGGGCATCCGCCTCCTCCCGGATATTGGACGACCTTATCACTTGAGCTTTTAATGCTTTCAGTAGGGTTATGCATTTACTAGAATAAACAAGAAAGATTTTTTTCTTTTTTACCTTTTAATTTAGAACCTAAAAGGACAAAAAATTGGTCAAAAAATCAAAAAATCTAGCTGAGTTCGACATCACATATCTCCCATATACCATTAAATCCAATTTTATACTACTCATTCACAGTAACACGAGGTGCTGCAACAAAACATATAAAAGTTGCTTTCTATCGTTTCAAAAATAAATGAGTTTATCTGATTTTATTTTATTTTATTCATTTTTCTTATTTAACATTTTTTTTAAGTAGTTTTTATTTTATTTTATTTTNTTTTATTTTATTTTATTTTACTTTATTTTATTTTATTTTATTTTATTTTATTTTATTTTATTTTATTTTATAGTTATTAATTTATTTTATTTCATTTTACTTTGTTAATTTTCTATTATTTAATTTAATTTTATTCAATTTAGTTTAATTTAATTTTATCAAATTAAATTAAATTTAATTTAATTTTATGTTATTTTATTTTATTTTCCATTTTTCATTATTACTTCCTAATATGTTTAAATTCCATATTCACTTTCCGTACTCTACGCCCACTCGCCTCTCATTAAATTGCCAATTACCGTTACAAAGACTAATCCCTCTCCCTCCTCCTCCACCTCCACCTCCTCCTACATCTGTGTGCTATTCATCCACTCATGGCGTTTGTCCTTCCTACACAATGGCTATTTCAATTACTCGGAAATTTCTTGTTGTGGGTATAATTACCAGCGATTAATCATGATTAGTGTACTGCCTCAGGTAGTCAAAATAATAAATAAGAGTAGCTAGCGAATTTAGAGCAGTGAAGGCGTGGCATGACGTTGCGAAGGTATATAGCGTATGACATATGGAAAATGTAAACGCAGGTATCGTATGTATATATCGGTATATGTATATATCGTTTGTGAGTATGTATGTTGCTATCTACGTATGTATGTAGTATGTATATGTATGTAGTATGTATATGTATATGCTTGTGCGTTTATTTGTGAGCGATAAACACAAAATTTATGTAGCCTTGCGTGCGAAGCTCGCCAAGGCTTTTGCAACTTGATTAATCACTAAAATCTGTTTTTAGTCGCTAACTGACTTTGTAAATGACTATTGCTGCCTGTAATCCGAACTTTCGAAAATGGTTTTTTGTAACAGCAAACTTAGCGCGGATTGGCTTTTGGAGATTTGTGGCAGCTGTTTGTTGTGGTTATAACCATTTATTTTAAGCCTTTTTGATGTGTTTTCTTAATTTATGTTAAACAACGGACAATTAGACTTATTGTGATTTTGAATACAATTATTTTTATAGTAGAATAGTCACTGTATTTACATATGTATATTTAAATGATGACGTGGTCTTTATCTTCATTATAAGAAGTTGTTCAGGAGCGGATTATCATCGAAATATAATTTATAAAAAGAGGAATTAAAAAAGAAAGTTTTTGTAGATACTTAATTTTTGGTTATTCATTTTTTGCTTCGAAAGCAAAATTAGCGCATTTTGTTTTACTTAAGGGGCTGTGCTAGCCAAAAATCGTCAAATAAATAGCAACAAAAATAAATATGTGAGATTCATAAGGTCAAGCGCTAATACCAATCTTAGGACGAAATCTTACACAAATGTGAACACAAACACGAAGATGAATACAAAGACGAACACGACAGCGAAGAAAAAGGCGAAGACAGATACGTATATGGCCACGAAGGCGATGATGAATACGAAAATGAACTCGAAAGCAGATACGAAAACGAATACGGATATGAAGCCGAAGACGACGACAATAAATATGAACACGAAGACGAAGTCGAATGCAAAGGCGATGGCAAATATGCCCCTACGAAGGTGATCACGAGTACGAAAGCGAACACGAAGACGAAGGTGAAGACGACCAAGAAGACGAAGAGGAGGTCTTTTGCATCCTTAACTTTTTATCTTAGATGAGGATGAGATCTTCAACCTAATCTTCATCCCTGTCTTTATCTTCATCTTCATCTTCATCTTCATCTTTATCTTTATATTCATCGTTATCTTTATTTTGAGTTGTATGTAGGGGTGAGAATGTTTGCATCTTTTTTGTTTCCTTCTCTCCGTAGAAGCATTACGGTCATATTGCACTAGCAATATATGTAGAAATATTACAAATATGACTCTTACCAGACTATTTATATCGCACAAATTTCTGACATTGCATACTTGCAGGCGCAGTCAACTGCATGCGGGTGACAACGTAGCGAGTCAATGAGGAATTTGCGGCAATTAATTAAGTTCCGTTCATACATATGTGTATGCATAGTATGTAGATATATGTAAAATGCACATAAACACATACTCACATGTCTTATACATACACATGCACACATACATATAATTAGGTACTAAACGTAAAGTCGGTTATGCGCCTAACTGTATGCAAAACGAATTGATTAACAGCCCAAAAGCGTATTTCATTCGAAAGGTTCTATATATGTACATATGTTTATATGAACATGCATACATATTTACATACGTGTGTGTGAAAACATATATGCTTTTATAGAGAATCTTTTAATTAGACAGACTGCGAGCAATATCGATGAACGTAATGAAGCGAAGTTTTAGCGCGCGAATGCGGCACAAATTTGCACAGTTAAGTGTAACTTATGCTTACTTATGATTTCAGCGCGCAATTTATGTGATTATGTGATTAAACTTTACATCGGTATATACTAACTTTACTCAGACAATTTTCCTTTGATAAACTCGTAGAAAATTTTTGCACGCAAAAGATTTGTACGCAGTGGTTTCGTTAGGTTAGGCGGCAGTGGCGGGCAGGACTCGCTTATACATAGGTTTTTTTTTATGATACCGGCTCATTAGAGTTACTTGCAGCTCAGTAAAAATATTCGCATATTTCTAACATTTACGGAATTTAGAAAATCTAGTTCGTTAAGGAATTAACTACCGACAGCTTTTGCCATATTTTTGATAGCTGCCGAGCATTGTCAAGGAGTGAATTAGAAGATTTCCTCTTCGTCTGGCTCTGGGACATCCATCGGAGCTTAATGTTAATCTATCAGACTAATTTCATGACGCCTTACGTACAGAACATTCTTCATGAATGGCAAGAGTTTTTTGGGAATTTCGAAAAGTGAGCTTCACCCGCACTCGTTTACAAGTTTTGAATTTTTCATTCACTTGAAGTATTTACGAAGGAATAGTATTTACAAACATCCATAAATATTTTGTCAAGCTGGATTTTTCTGCACGGCACAATGTGCGCTGTCAGGATGCTGCAAGCTCATAGATCCTAAAGGGTGGGGTTTATCTGCTTAGGAACTTATATTGCTGCAGACTTCTTCAATATCCAGTTAGACAACTAAGTATTGAGTTTTCCTTGTGATAGAAAGGTTATCTTATGTTGAAAATTAGAATGTGGACCGCTGTTTCTACACCTTTTCGTTTGTTATATACGTGTTGGGAAGTCGGGAACTTCAGTTCCACTATTTCCCTAATATAATCATTTAACCGGGCTCAAAAGACATTAGTAACAAAGATGAGAGGTATATAGGATTGAAGTCTTGCGGTTTCCTGTGTGAAACCTTTCTCGCTTTGAGATGAAATAATACTTTAACCTGCGTCGACTTCTAGAATATATATATAATTGGGCCCGATAGCCGCGCGTTAAATTGGTTTTAGTGTAAGCATAACAAAGTTCAGTGGTTTTTACTGATCGAGAGGCAGGCTGCTGCCGGCTTCTTTAATACTATCCGAAATCGTATAAAGTGGAAATGTTTTTCCTGAAGCAGTAATCAGCATATCACATACTAACCTTGTATTGGAACATACGGATAAGTAAGCCTCCTTAAGAATTTTCGGCATTTCGGAGCTGCTGCTTTTCATTACCAGCCCTTCAAACCAGAGTTCTTGCTTTATCAATTTTCGCCCGAAATTTTGTAAAAGACTCGAAGTGTGCACGGTATATTTTATTTTAGAAAATTCATCAAAAAATCAGAAAGGGAAATAATGAGCTCTTTACGAATTCTTTAAGATTTATCACCTATTCAGAATACTCTGAATACATGGATTGCAGGAAAAATACACTTTCGTTACTATTTTTGCCTATTGAGGGGTTATCACTAGTACACCTTTTTCAATGATTTTAATATTTCGAGGACAGGGTGCCCAAACCGCTTTTTACCGGATATCAGTAGTATGCACCTTTTACAAAATGACATCTAGCTATGATATTTTTGAGTACCTGATTTATTTATTTTTTCAAATTTACCAATAAATTTTTTATAGCGCATAACTGCTACCATAATACATATGTATGTACATTTCAAAATGTCAGTTAAACTTTAAATTCAGAGCAACTCGGCATCAATTTCAATTTCACCTGCATAATTTATGACATGCAAATTTTTCTGTTACTTCCATTGGAAAAAAATATTCCCTTAGTTTGTGCCTTCAATACGCCGAGTGCATTGACTGCTGCCGCGATGGAAAAACAAAAGCCGCTTCCGCTTACTGTATTTCGCGCAACTGCTCTACACGCTCTCCCCTCTGCAACAACCCCACAATACATACAGATACATAGCTATACATACATATGTATGTAGTTTTTATTGAACGCGGTCGCGGTTTAAACTGTTGCTTTCATCAAGTCGCATATATGTATGAGTACATGAATGCATGTGCACACCTGCCGAATGCACAAAATTCACATAAAAGCGCTCAGCTCAATGCTACATACATATATTCGGTTCACTCAAAAAAGCATACAGGTACATTAGACCATACCACCTTACGAGGAAAATGTCAAAAAAAAATATATTTTGTTTTTACCGAACATACGAAATACCATCTTAGCAAAAGTGGAATAATTTTTGGCGATCTTTAATTTACTGACATTAGGATGGTACGTCAAGGTGATAAGAACGAAGATATGTTGCGTGAGTACTAGAACGGGGTACTTTGGAACAAAAAAATTGTCTTCCGCGGATATGACGAAAAACGTAAAAAAGCTCCTACGTTCGGTCAAAAAATATCGAATTGCCGTCGAATCGAAATACTTCCACAGAAAAAGTTTAATAATTTTCGGCGAGTTTTAATTTACTGGCATTAGAGTGGTAGCAACTGTGATCCCAATAAGGCCAATGAACCTTTGAACAAGAAAAATATTCTCCTTGAAACAAGAACATGGATATATATGGCACTTTTTTTTCCGCAATACCGAACTTACGTATTGTAGGATTAAGAAACAAATATTTCGATAAGCTGTTTCTCTACAGCCGTATAGTTTTTTATAAATTTTCTCAGTATTTGATTTACAGAAAGTTGTATATCAAAAAGGAATATTCAGTGACGTAAGTCCATTCAAACGCTCTTGACCACGTACTTCGCAAATATGATTTGATCCATTTGAGCGTGACTGCATTATTTTGCAAGATATTCAAAATTCCAAAATAGAAATAGCAGCCAGGAACTGGGAAGTTTATGTTGCTGAATTGTCGTTTTTCCATACTGCGATCTCTTCCAAGAGCTTCGACTATTTCTGGCTGAATTTCAGTGTAATTTGATACCGCTTCAAGACATTGAGGCCATCTTGTTTTTTCTTCGATTCTGTTTTTGAAAAAGTCGTGTAACGCTGCAGTAGTCTCCACTACATTATTTATGCCAGCTACATCACAAGCTGCAATCACGGCTGAGTTAAGCTAAATTTTTGGAGCATATTGAAGATAAATGTTAAGAGAAAGATCCAATTGTAGGTAAGCTTTGGCTCTGTCAAATTTACCACTAATCGCTGTAGCTCCAACATATCATTCCCCATAAAGATACGAACAATCTATACCTACATCCGAAATATATAGTTCTTGATAATTCTTGATAACACTAACCTGAAATCAAATGGGTGACAAAATTCAAAATCCAAAACCCTCCGTAGTAAAATCCTGATTCTATCCTGACTGTAAATGCCAAATATATTATAAACTAGTAATTTTTAGCAAAAAAAAAACCGACTTCAATTCCCATATAAAAAAAATATATATATATATATCTCATGATCCACTGATCGGATCTCAACCAGATTAGTATTGGACCACCTCTGAGACACTACCTTTCCGATGCAAAAAGAATTATCGAAATCGGTTG